GATACAACCATTAGGACTACTCGTAATATAATCCGATCATCACGTCTTACGTCATATCTTATTTATATTTCACGGTTTAAACACCTCTGTGCGGTTATCTATTCCAAACCATGAACTCCCAGTCTACAATAAATTCCATTACAATATTTCGAAGAGGGTTCTCCTAACGATTGGCCACCTGGTAGCATAAAGTACACGTATGATAAGGCTTTGAAGTGCGCTATGTGAATAGCTATTATAAATCAATACAGGACTAGCTCAAATAATGTTTTTCACAGGGAGAATATCTATCCTCCTCTTTACAATAAGTAAGACCTAAGAAATTGAAGGTTCTTACAGTTTTCTTGCGTCGGATGCAAAATACAAACAAACCACTGCAATTCCACACAGGAGTCCAACACATCCAGATGTGATTGCGAGTCCATCAGAGAGCTTTACATATTCATCAGAGAAGATTGTGAACTTGTCACATCGTGGCTTGCAGAAGTTGTTGTCACAGTAGAAATGCTCGTGACACACAATTGTGCAGTTTGTCCCAATGATGCTGAATACTGGGAAAGAATAAAATCATTATGCACACACAGACAAGAGGGTCACTGCTGCAAACCTTCACTGCATTCAAGTCCTTCGTCATTGAGACCCGAGCAATCAGGTAGCATAAATTGCTGAGATGACAATTCCAACAACTTTTCTGCTGTTTTCCACTCCGATTGGCAGGTGGCATCTCTAACCACCCTACACTCTGCTGCTGTCGGTCGATAGTCAGTATTGTATGTGCCACAAAGGCCAAAGTAGTACAGACACAAGAGTGGGACAAGTGACTCCCTACACTCATCACTTGGATTTATGTATAAGTCAAGTGCAAACATTATACTGTCGACTATGTCTTCAACAGCCTTTTGATCCATGACAGAATTGCTGACATGCACATCGGTTGTAATACGTCCAGGGGACTCACAATCAGCATATGATTTCAGTACAGCCATACAATGACTTCCAGTATACTTGTAATAGCATTCACCACTCATGTTTCCAAAATCACGATCAGTGTTATTGAGAAAGTTTGTAAAATTTTCTTTCTGATTTTGTTCCTGGAAAACAATAAACATAGGTTTGACGCGTACCTGTGGGAAATCTGCAATTTAGGGCCCAGATTGTAATTGTCCAAAGAACAGCAAGGGTGGCCTCCCAGGCTGACTATAGAAACACTTGTAGTCCAACTTCAAACAACCCGGTGCTAGCTGTATTCTGAGCTGTGGGCTGCGGGCTGCACTGGTATATATCAATATTGGACAGGAAGTCCTTATCACAACATCTAGCGCTAGGCGTAGTCCAAATTGTCTGGCTTCAAACGTTTACCCAACAGTTCATTAGTACATTAGTGCAGTATGACACAGCAGAAATTCAGCATTGTGATTGGCTATATAGTTGGACTACAAATCAGTTAACGTCAGGCGTCTTGGCGCGTACAGGAAATCCTCCTCGGCTGTACCGCCTCGCCGCCTATACGTTAACTAATACGTAGTTTCCAAGGCAGTGTCTAAATGTTTTATTTATAGCTCTCTATGGCTTAACAATACAGATCTGCCCTGCTTGACTATTGTTTGGCGTGCGTATCGTGCGTGCGCACATCGTGACCCTTGACCTCCATGAACTTTCAGCAGCAAACAGCTACAGAGCGAAGCCTTCATCAAGATCATCACTAACTCCATTCCTAATACTTTGTATGTTTTATGTGTGCTAGTGTACCACTACTTCTTGTACCAGTCAGTTTTTGTAAAGTATAAAGTTATAAAAAACAAAAATAGACAATAAATGCGCACGCGCATATTTTGCCTCGCGCCTGCCAGCCAATGCGTCAACAGTCCGATCGGACTGTGGGGCCGCTCGTGCGCGCGCTCTACTGACTGCGCGCGAAGCCAGACTTCCTACGAATTACGGAAGTTACACTTCCTTTTGGTGACTAATTTACATTCCTAAGAGTGACTAATTGACAACGTACGTACGCATATCGCGAGAATATAACCCGGAGTAGCTAACGCGCTCGGCAATAACAGGTACAAGGAAAAATATCCCACCATGTTGGTAGGTATGGAGTCACACTTGTGGGAAACTGTTAATACGAGTGTTTGTGTGACAGCACCTGACACCTAGCCATTTAGCATTTGTTAGGTTCGCTTCACTCGCCTTTGAAGTTGGTAATTAACCTGTGTGACCATTTCACATTTGGAAGTGAACTGATTAATCCTTGTGACGCCGTGCAAGAGTCAACAATAACTGCCTATTGTCTTGTCAACCGGCCCTGTTTGTTCTCGACAGGCACACAGCGCTTCTGGGCACGCACTGACTTGAGTGGACATAGCTAGTAGCATTCATTGCATGAGAAAAAAGTCTCGTTTGACTGCTTTAGCTACCGTACCTCTGAAGAAGAGTCATAGTAAAACACAATTGGTAGTGAAGAGAGGCCCCACACAATCATAATCACCACCACCAGAATAGTGAACTCCAACCGCGTTCTCCATTGCGAGTCTAGCAAACATGTCCTCTGCCTCCTCATTTTACTTTCAGTGATGATCTTAGCTACTACTCCGGACAACTGGAATGCTTCAGTACGTTTTCCCTCCATCATAAGCCTTGTATAAACAAGTCTTCACAGTACCCTTTGGCTCTATGAATGAGACGTACAATATGCCCCACTAGGTGCAGCTATAGTCAGGAAAACAACAGTCTTTATGCTGTGTGTTTTGAAGCCCGCTAAAAGAGCACGAACTATTGACACCGAGCTTTAAACTACGAGCTACTTCAGCAACAAAGGTGCTGACACTATCTGCGATAGTCGGGTTTAGATTCACGAAAGGATCTGCAGCAAAAGTCAACACAAACTGATGCAGGTAGATAGCTACTAACGCAACTAAGTCTATGCTCACACCAATGCAGGCGGAGTTAATTATATCACTCTCTGAAACCCAACCGCATTCTTCCTTCGGGTATTATAGCCCTTCCACAAAACCAGATACTTACTCCCCTTACCGTGACTGTGAGCACTCTACACGTAAATACATTCCAGCGTGTTGCATTACACAAAGTACAAGAGGTGTGGCTTACCTTTCTCTCCGCGATTATTCGCTCCATATCATCTCCGTGCAGGAATACAGGTGCTTCCTACTCCTGGCTGTATATGCCATCGATACTACGGGCCGCTAGACACGTGTAGTAGCCCTTCGGCTTTGGTGTTTTCCGCGTGAAGTAAGCCATGATATGCTATGTATATACTTTTTCAGACGCCACTCGTAGTTCAGCAAATTCTCTTGCTGCTGTCTCTAGGCTCAACATTAGTTAGCGCTAAAACGAAACGCGACGTTATGGTAACGATGTTTTAATGTAGCAAACAACATGAAAACAAATCACGTAAACAAAAGCAACATGATGTCCGCTAAACCCCTCAAATTGCTGGTATATAATTTGGGGGTGGGTGGTGGTGGTACTGCCGTGTACACAGGCATTTAAAAAGCCAATGCATGTGACCATGGACAAAAGCCTCTCAATCCTAGCACTCGTCTTTCTCTCTTCCCCCATGCAAACACACACACACACCATTTTTACCCTTGTGAGTATCACTGGAGTAAAATACATCACCAAGGACCCTAGAGTAACAAGCCCACTTCCCCCTTAGGAAGTTCCATACCTATGACATCACAACTCCCTATAAATACCCCACTGTGCAGTAGTAGAACCATAGGATTGCAAGTCCCCCTGAGAGCCTAAGGTATGTGATTGTACAGTACTGTAAACTGTAGAGAAGTAGCAGCAAAACACCTTTCATAAGAAATGTTCAAGAAATGCATCAGCAGAAGTATGCTGCTGTGTACACTGGTTGCATGACTTCTGTTTTGCAAACAATAGTGTGTAGTCAATGCAAGAATGAGTGTTTTTCCTGTCCTAAAATGACCTGTTACAAGAATGGGTGAAGTAGGGAACAATGTAATAAGAGACATGTACTGGTCTTCTGAATATCTTTCTGTAAATTCAAAACCTCTCTGCAAAATCGTTAACTTGATGGAATTAGACGTTAAATCACCACATCACTCAGGCAGTTGACAACGTTTTTAAGATTTATAAGGTTAAAATGGACAGTAATTTCCCTCTCAAATCACTGTGGCAAGATACAAAACTCTCCACCAACTCATACACTTGTGAACTTCGACCTGGTAGGCGGGCGGCATGGCGGTTGCAAAGCCACCCACGCATCCTCAGAAGTTGTCAGTCGGCACTTGGATGTAGCAGTAGGAGCTTTGATGTTGATTTCATCTACCCTTTCAAAAAGTCCAGATTGAGTGAGACAGGTCATAAATATCTCAGCAGGCTGATAGCTATATAGGCAGGCACAGAGGTTTTGCGAAGTTTGTTCTGCAAAGTGCCTGCCGGGAGAGAGATCACATTAGCGGCCATGCACGGCATGACAGCGGGTGTGCAGATGCCTCTAAACATCCCTCTCAGCAGTTTATCCAAGCTGTTGCATCCAGTAATGATGGGAGCTGGCAGAAGCTATGGGATAGGTTGTCTTCGGCACAATCTGCATTCAAGCTTCTCTCTCTCCACGCCCACTCAGACCGTACATGCCATACTCCTAACTGTTCTTTCTACACTTGTTCCGAGTCTACCTGTGGTCACTTTCTGTCCACCCACACTAGTCTTGATAATAATAATAATACTCAGGTGGCTGCCATAGCACTAGGGCCATAGACCACACACCCAGAGCAATGGGCGGAACCGTTTGATAATTATTTTATTCATGTCTATTACGTTTCTGCTTCACTATTTTCTTATGGTCATGGTGTTCATAGTTGTTTTAATTAAATCTCTATGAAATCACTAATTCGTCTTTCACGTTCATCTCATTGCCTTCTCTCACTCATCCTGTAAAACCAGGGGATATTTTTGATATCATTTGATGTGTCGATTTGGGCAGAATAACGCGTGCGCGCAGGAGAGCCGGACGACACCACAACCGTAATCTGAGAGAAAGACCTAAGCAAACGTACTAACTATATAGAGAAATGGAACACATTGTCTGGTGAGCGAGCGCGAGCATTCGCGCGTATCGAACATTGCGCGCGGTAATGTGGGTATTACGGACGGTCACGGTGGCGTTGACTCGTTCCACCCACACGTTTCATCTTTCGGACGGGGGCACGTGAGGGTTTGGGCACGAGAGACAAACGGTGGCGGTGCAATATTTCCCGCGTTGAAGGGCGTAGGTACTTATGCGTCGTATCGCTGTATCGCCGGATAGAAAGATGGAAAATCCGCCCGTTGACTAGCTTTGCTCACCAATTACTGCTTCGTATACTTTTCTCGAGTGTATGAAGCAGTAATTGGCGAAAAGTGTGCACTAGGACAATCCGTGGATCCTTCATGTTAGCTGCCACCCGGATAAGCCATAGCGACTTAGCTACGCTTCACTGGTACCACAGGCTATTCCACCTTGCCAGCTCCCTGTGAATCTCAACCAAAAAAAAAGAGGCAATGTTGAAGCCATTCTTAAGTGAGATGAATTAATTTCATAGGAGGAAAAGCTCAGGGAGGTAGACGCATCAGGAGGTAGCGAAGTCACAGAACAATAAATTGGAGTCTTGCAGGCGTTGCGGCCTGCAAACGCAAGTAGAAGTAGAAAAATCCGGCGCTAACTATCACAACATAACATACGAGAAAGTATAGTCTGTATTGCTGAATCCTCGAAGTCGGGGCAGCTTCTGGGGTGCAGACATCGCCTAGGCATATACGTAGTAGACTAGGATGTACGTCGTCATGTATCTACGGAAGCCGAGAGGGGCCATTCAATACTTCCGTTTTACACGAACGTATCGATCTCGTGATCGCTTCCGCTGTAAGTTTTATCGCGTCGAAATGTGCACTGCAGCAGTTGTGTGTGAAACCGATTAGTTGCCAGCTGTTCATCCTCATTTCGCATTGCAGGTGAGCCAATTTAGTTTTGCCCCGTGCCACAAACCTTAACAACGTCTTATATCATGGTTCACGAGGATATGAAGCCGACTCTGCCGCAGCGGTGTAATACTTGCGCACAATGGATGCAGAGACGCCCGCTTATGCAAACAGCAAATGAACGTCCTTCTATGCTCAAGATTAGCTATTTGACTACTGTATTGTGGCCAAACGATAACAGAGTTTCCTATAATTGTGTTTTGACCAGTAGCTACTGTATATTGAAACAATTTCATGTTGTCAGAAGTGCAGACCGTGAATGGGCAAGCACTATAATTATAATCCTACTAAGGCAGTATTATTGTAATAGTTGAGAAATAGTGCTGTTGTCCTCATCCTTTATCATCCAGGATTTTAGCCTAACAGTGACACTGAAGCAAAGAGCAATGTTCAAAACCCCACTTTTCATCATTTCCCTCCTGCTCTCACCAGCACTGCTTGTCACAAAAAACACAGAAACTCTGTTGAGAATAGATGCCAGCGCAGCACCTGACTCTAACACTAGTCTCCAGCAGTCTGGGGACCAGGGAACTGGTCTCAGACACTATCATCTAGCTTTCAGGAGGTGTTCACTACCTCAAGGAAGTCTCCTCCAGAATCTTGTGATTATCACGATTATCAGCATTAAAATTGTAAATGCACACTAAGTAATGCAACCTCTTTACCACTTAATGCACACTGCTAAAAACAATGCATTTCAAAGGGAAACCCAACTGCATTGCAAACCTGGATGACTGTGCGATCATTGACTCTCCTCGAGCACAGATAACGGGATTGCAGCAGATTAGCTACCTTCACCACATTCCAGTCCTTCATCACTGAGACCCGAGCAATCAGGTAACATAAATTGCTGGCCGGACATTTCCTGCAAACCCTGTCCTCTCTTCCATTCTGATTGGCAGGTGGAATCTTAACCTCCCTACACTCTGCTGCTGTCGGTCGATAGTCAGTATTGTATGTGCCACCATGGCCAAAGTGGTACAGACACAAGAGTGGAACTAGTGCTTCCCTACACTCATCACTTGGATTTATGTAGAAGTCAAGTGCAAATAAATAAGTGTCCACTAAGTCTTCGACACCTTTTTGATCCATGACGGCATTGCTGACATAAGCATCAGCTGTTGTACGTGCAGTGGACCCACAATCAGCATAATTTATTATATTCAGACAATGACTTCCAGTATACTTGTTAAGGCATTCACCACTCATGTTTCCAAAATCACAATCAGTCTCATTGAAAGAGTTTGTAAATTTTTCTCTCAAGTTTTGTTCCTGAAAATGGTTAGATGCGGAGATGCAGAATTTACCAAGTAAACTAGCCAGTGAGCAAAGGGGCCTGACTGTCAGGATCCTCAGCTCAAGGCTAGCTCCAAGAGAGAGGCTACTATAAGAGGTCCCTGCACATCCTCGGTCCGCACAAATAGAAACTCTTTCAATTTGAAACAGAGTTGGTCTGTTGACTTCGTGAGAGCTATAACGAGTGTTCTGTTAACCCTGCTTGTTAGCTTATGTCTGAATAGAATGTTGACTTGCATGGACTAACACCTTCACTTTGCTAATCTTTGAAGAATAGTCACAATTGGTAGTGAAAAGAGACCCCCACACAATCACAATTACCACTACCAGAATAGTGAACTCCAACTGCATTCTCCATTGCAAGTCTAGCAAATATCTACTCTACCTCCTCGTCTTACTTTGTGGTGAACAGGCTCCTACTTATTCAGACAACT